CAACCCCTTTTCCTGTATTCTTGGCTTATGTTTCATTGCATTTTAGCATCTGGCATTTGCATAACATAGTTCTTACAGGGGATCAAGTGATTGTTTGCGTTCCATCCAAGAGGAGAATCTTATTGGCTTCAAGCTCAAGCAAAGGCATTGGTAAAGGTCATCAAGTGTGTGTTACCATCATGAAGCTATGCAAGCTCCTTGAGAGGAGAGGTGTGCTATAGCTTATTGTTTGGGAACCACCAGAGGATTTTGTCAAGAGTTCATGAGGTCCTATAATTGGTGTAAGCATGGGATAGAGAGTTTTTGAGTACCTTAGAGACTATTGTGGAATGAGAATGGTCATTCAATTCATCTGCAAAGATCTTGGACAAAGAGTTGGAAATTAGAGTTTCACATATAATCAGGAAATTAGAGTTGTAAAATATTATTGACATATTGACTTTTTAGATTTATATATATAATATAAAAACAAACCTATTTTAAAATAATTTTCACAACAATTTTTTTTCTTTATAATAATAGTTTTTATTTAAACTTTGTCAAAAATTATTTTTTATTTATATTTTAGATTTATTTTCTTTAAGATAATTTTAGTACATATTATTCTTATTTAAGACATTTTTTAAGATTTCATAGTACATATTATTGTGAATTGTGAAAGTTTCATCTACTGCACTCACGAATTCACCAAGACACGATAAATCATTCGTGGTTATAAAATGATAATTATAAACTTAGATTAAAAAACACATACTTGTCATTAGAAAAATATTTAAAATTAATTTTATTTTTAACACAGTCAACCTTAAAATGAGAATAACTATAACTTGTTCAAGTTGTTTTTTCAATAGATAAAAAGATACATTTTATATTTGTTAATTAGTTTAATTTAATATTTTTTAGAATTTTAAATCAAAATTAAAAATAATTAAAATATACTAATTCAATTTAATATAAAAGTATTGATAGAACAAGATTTAAGATAAATAAAAAAAAAAGGTTAGTTTTATCAATTGAGACAATTTTTATTGGCCATAAAAAAAGTTTGATGTTCACTAAAATAAAAAATAATTTCATTTTTTTAATATTGCTGACATAAAATGATATCAATTATTATCCAAATTTTTTTCTCTCACTTTTTTTATTTGATTGTATAATTAAAAAAATAATATTTTAAAATTCAACAAATAAATAATTCTTTTGAGTAGTTAAAAAGAATTTTGAATGAAAAATATAAAAAAAATTCAACAAATAAATAATTCTTTTGTGTAGTTAAAAAATATTAAAAAATATAAAATTTTGAAAGAAAAAGTTATAAAAAAAAATCTATAGGGTAGTGATTCAACTCTGAATCTCTAAACCTTCCAAATAATAATAGGTAGCAAAGAAAACTCAACCCTAACGTAACAAACATTTGGAGTTCACTCAAAACAAAACCCTCATAATAGAGAAATTGCGGAATGGCTCGTGCATCGATCACGTTTGGAGTTGACAAAGCCTCTTCAATGATCTGAACTGACAAAGCCTCTTCAATGTTACACCATGACCAGTCTTCTTCGCAATGATCTGAACTCTCGCAATCGCAACCACCAATCGAATCTTCGAACCTTAGTTTGTATTTTTTTCCCCTTTCAACTCAAGTAAGTTCATCTCTTTAATCTTTTTTATTTCTATATCTATTATCAAGCTTATGCGATTTTACTGATTTTAAGTTAGATTGATTATAAACTTAGGTGATTTTTTTAAACAAGGTGTTTGTTGAAATGCCACAGTGAGTTTACTTATGTTGATTTTGCTTTTTTTGGTTTTATGAATGATATGTTTTCTAACCTAAAGCAGAAACTGTTAAGATGCATTTATTAATGAGGAGTTAGATTGATTTATTAATGAAAGTTATCATCTAATAAAGTCCTTATCAATGTTATCAATTGAGGATGACAAATTATGCCTGCCAGCCAAAAACCTGTTATATTGATACGGCGTTATGGTTGCTGACACAGAATCTGCCATGCCATACGGCAAGTTGGCAACACTAGCTCTTTCAAGGACTGATGATGTTAGTGCCTTTCTGGATGTTGGACTGATGTTGTTAAGTTCTACGATGCGTGTGATTTTTGCATTTCAGGAAGAATCTTATGATTTGTGTTATGATGTATCACACGTTTCATGTAGGATGTCAGTTTTGACTACCATAATAGGACCGACTCATTGACCTCAATATCTGTATTGTATAGTCGTCATGTCATTAAATAATTTAGTGAATATAGAAATATTAATGATATGGTTTAATTAAGCTTACTGGAAAGATCTTGTTGCCCTTTTAACCCTCCCAAATATTAACTTTTAATATTTGTTAATTTGCAGGTTTGCTACTATCTCTGGGTGGCTTCCTTGTTTTTCATCCGAATTGGGGACAAGGTCACTACAACAAACATTGTATTTTCCCAAGTGATTCCCACGTCACTAAGTTAAAAATCACTTCACTAACCACTATTTGCGACGTGGGAGAAACACGCCGGAAATGCAATGGTGGGAACTTTTTCCCACGTGAAAAACACGTCACAAAGTTGTGGTGAAAACCAAGTCACTAATTAGTGACGTGAAAATCATGTGGGAATGTACCTTTACCAATTTGGTCTGCACTGAATCTGACACAAGTTGAATTATTTACCCATGTGACTCTCACGTCACTAATTTTTTCCCATGTGATTCCCAGTCACTAATTAGTGACATGGGATGCACTTCACTATAAAATTTAATAATAATAAAAAATAAATAATATTAACTGAAAACAATTATAAAATTAAAATAAATATTAAATATTAAATTTAAAATAAAAATAATTTTTAATATATAATATATATTCATTATTTTTAAATTATAATATATTCATCAAAGTATAATATATATTTACTATAATTTTATAAAGTATAATATATATTCATTATTTTTAAAGTATAATATAAATTTACTAAAATAATATATTATACTAATAATAACATATTTAAAGTATAATATATATTCATTATTTTTAAAAATCTATTTTTAATAATTGAATGTGTAAAAATAATGTATTAAATGTGTTGTTCTGTTTTTAACATATTTACTAAAATAAAATAATATATATTATACTAAATCTGTTTTTAATAATCTATTTTTAAAAATCTGTTTTTAAAAATTTGTTTTAAAAATCTATAATATATATAATTAATTTACTAAAAATAACACATTTAGTACATATTTATTATTTTTTAATAAAAATACTTTTTCAAAGAATAATACATTTAAAAATAACACTTTTTAAATATAATACATATTCTTTATATTTTTAAAAAATATATATTAATTTTTTCTATTTACAATATTGTTTACTAAAAATATTTTTTAAAATTCTATTTTTTCTAACATAATAAATATTCTGTTTTTAAAAATTAAAAATACATAACATATTTAATTTGTTTCTAATATATTATTTTTGTTTCTTATAAATATTCTATTTTTCTAATTTGTTTCTAATAACATATTATTTTTATTCTGTTTTTCTAATAAATATTCTATTTTTTTATTTTGTTTCTAATAACATATTATTTGTTTCTAACATAAAAAATATTTTATTTTTCTAATTAAAAATACAAAATATATTATTTTTATTTTTTCTTTCAACAACAACAATACAGTATATATATATATATATATATATATATATATATATATATATATATATATATATATATATATATATATATATATATATATATATATATATATATATATATATATATATATATATATATATATATATATATATATATATATATATATATATATATATATATATATATATATATATATATATATATATATATATATATATATATATATATATATATATATATATATACTTACATCTAACCAAAAAAAATTTAAAATTTTCTTATTAATATTCTAAAATAATATTTCATATATCAAATATATAAACAAATTGTAATGCAAAAATACCTCTCAAAAGCTTTCAGTGGAACTCCTTAATCAATATTAGATCTGGAAAAAAATTAACAGTTAATAAAAAGAAAAACATAAAATAAATGGAAACCTAAAACAGTCACAACAACATACTTCATCTTCACCTTAAATTTGTAAAATTTTCGTTGGAGGTGTGAAGCAGAATAATATGAAGGTCTGGAAATGTGAGGGAGGAAGAAAGAAGAAAAGCTGAAGAAAGAAGATGAAGAAATGAAGTGAAACGAGATGGGTGAAAATTCTGGGATATATAATGAAACTTGCGACTTGGGGAACACGTGGGAAGGTACCCACGTGAACGCCACGTCGGAACAAACATCTACTCAAACCATTTGCGACGTGAATTGGGGGTCGGAACATTCCAAGAATTTGCGACGTGGGAATAGGGTCGGAACGGTTCCCTATATTAAATTATATTCGTTGCCCCACTAAATGTCAAAGTACATTCATGTGTCTGTCTGACAAAAATTAATGGAAATTATTTTTGCGACGTGAAAAACATGTGGTAATTTGTGACATGCTTATCACGTGAAAAAAAAGAACTTTTTTGAATTTACAGTTCCCTTGTGATTTACACGTGACAACTGAATTTGTGAAAAATTCAAACTTCCCTCTCCCTAAAAATTCTAAAATTTCGTTGAATATTTCAGAGTTACAAAATTTATTAATTAAACAATTATTTACTTCCTTGACAGTGCCTAAGGTGGTACCTGTTATTTTCAGGGTTAACTTGTGCATAGCTGGTTATCAATGCATATATTTGCCTAATTGCAAATTCTCGAACCAGAATCACTGTTTTAGAATAGAACAATTGCAATAAGATTCTTTAACGGTATAGAGGGCTAAACATAGTCAGAATATTAAAATTTAAAAATGCTCTGAAGCTGCTTTAACATGACGAAAGCAGGCATGAGTCATGATAATATGAAATATATTTTAAAAAATTGTTGTATTTTGATGCTGATGTGAGACTCTTCTTAATGATTTTAATGATTGATTTCTCCCCTGTCAAATGCAGTCCAGTTTTAGGCCTCTTAGAATATTCTCAACTATATTCTTGTTCTCATGCAGCTGAGATAGCATGGAATAAAATGAGGAAAGAGTGGATTGGTGATCAGTCAAAAAGACTACAACGACCATCTAAAGATTCAGCTATATGGTACGTGCTTCGTACTGATTTTCATTTATTCTCTTAATACGACTATTGAAAATAGGGGTTCTTCATTCAGAAATGTGTAGGCGTCAACCATATCGAACAATCAAGATTTCTATGGACTAATTTATTGACTACTTTGTGAATTCATTCCATATTTTAGAAAATGAAAGCTATCTCTTAATTGTGCCTCTTAGCACTATACAAGTATGATGTATATCATGTTTTTCATTGTCTGGCTTGTCAATATTATGTGGAAATTTTTACTTCAGTAAACATGTGCATGTTGCAATAGCTCAACATTGGTCCTGACTGTACCTTTCTACGAGTATCCACAATTCCATATCATATTTACCAAAATTAACCTAGTCATCTCTTTCAGCCTGACAGCACGTTCAGACGACATGCTTTTCTCTAGAGAACCTTTTTGTCCGCCTATACCATTACCTGTAAGTTCTGTGAGACGCAATCTTTCCTTTTCAAATTGGAAATGCGTTATATTAAAAAGTTATTTTGGTATGTTTGGGTTATGTAGGCAATGGTAGGCTATTTTGTTAAAATTTGGGAAGAGCAAGGTCTCTTTGAAATAGCTAACAGGTAATTTTCGGCTGTAAATTTCAGTAAGAATCTTGCACAATTTTATGTTCAAAAAAAAAGCCATTATAAGCACATTGCTGAGAGTGAGACAGACCCGTTAACATGAGATTGGTTGAAGTCGTTGAATGATAATGTTATCGAGTTCTGTTGGCATCCAAATAAGCTGATTAGCAGTTTCTGCCTGCCACAATGTAGATCTTTGGGTCGTTTGTGACCGGCTAAACATTACTCTTTGAGATACTTTATATTTTTTTTTACAGTTTTGAACTTGAATGCGATCTCCATAATTACAAAGTGGGCAATCTCAGTAATTTGATGAAGATTAAAATAAAATAAAAAAAAGTTGAATTCACACTGTTGTTCATTAGCTTTCTGATGCAATTGTATTCAACTTTGACTAATCACAAGTCCAAAAGTGCTCGAGTCGCGGAAAAGTAGTAGCCAAGGGCTTTTGAAGCATAATGCTGCTTGTGCAATACACCCAATGGCTCATAGTCATACTTCACTCGTTCTTAATTTGCGTTTGGATTGAATTGAATTGGTATACATGGCCCTATATGGGTCCTTTTCAGTGACCGTAGAGTCATGATTGAATACAGGCAAGTGCAGTTTGATTTTGCACATAGGTCCAATGACTATCTAGATGTTGCACATGATTCAAATTCCACTTTCAATGCTATTAACGAGTTGCTCGCAATTTTAGTATTTGTAGGAGTCCTTGCACCTGTCTGATCCATTGTTGGTTTCAGTTTACCAAAAATATTCTAAAGAACTAGGGGTGGTAAAATTATGTTTCGTAACAATTGAGAATGTGTTTGGATCCGGTAATTGAAATTTTTTAAGAAATTAAAAATTTCAGCAATTTAAATGATTCTATTGAAATTCATTCATTTTTAAATTTTGTTTGGATAGAATATTACAATTATATCATTCCTCTTGTGAAGCAGCCATGAATGCTCTGAAGCTGCTTTAACATGATGAAAGCAGCCATGAGTCATGTGCATACTACAAGACACTAGATTATCAGCTAGCAGAGCCCGGGAGGTTCCTAATCTGCTTGATATGAATGCTTACTTTGGAGGCTTTGCAGCTGCAATGATTGATGATCCAGTTTGGGTCATGAATGTTCCCGTCGAGGCCGAGATCAACACCCTCGGCGTCGTTTTTGAACGAGGATTGGTTGGAACATATCAGAACTGGTATATTTTTCTTTCATTTACTAGCCCATTTTCAATAACAGTTCTTAACTAGATTCTGTTACATATAGAGTACAAAGTAGCTTTTATTTTGTTAGAGTGGAAAGTAGCTTTTTGTTTGCCTAACTAGATTTGCAACATGAATCTTTTAAAAAGTGAATGCATTATTTGTAACGTGCACCATTAACTTAATTTTGAAGTGCATTATAATCTTAGCTCACCAAAATTTATAGTTGGATAATGGATACCTTTATAATAATTGTGCACTTTTAGAGGCAAAACTCACTTTATATTAGCTTTTTTTTCTAAGACTTCCCACTAATAGTAGCTTTTGTAGTTAAGGTTTTATTACTAACTACTTTTGTCTCCATTTTGTGGTGTGAAGTCATGTCCACATATCCTCGAACCTACGACTTCATACATGTGGCTTCTGTTTTCAACCTGTATGAGAACAAATGTAAAATAGAGGACATTCTTCTTGAGATGGACAGGACTTTGGGGCCTCAAGGGAGTGTCATTATACGCGATGACGTCGATGTGTTGTTGAAAGTGAAGAGATTTTTGTCATTATTATTATTATTATTATTATTATTATTATTATTATTATTATTATTATTATTATTATTATTATTATATTTTGTGATAGCTGCTCGTGGAGGTGAAATAAGAAGAATGTGAATATTAATGAAATTGAAGCTATTTTTTGTTTTATGCTTTATATGTATTACTGTTATGTTATATTAATAATGTAATATGATTTATTATCTTGTGTGGTAAATTAAATTGATGTTACATAGATAGTGGCTTAGAATAAGAAAGTGAAGAGTGAGAAGAGTGAGTCATAATCCTCTTGTTGTTTTGTTGTTTAAGTCCTTTTTGTAACAAGTAAAGAATAATGTGTCATGTTTCCATGTATGTACACAGGTTTGTGCAAACGTGTCATCGGATTCGTCAAATATGAACAAACTACTCCAATGGAATGACCTCTATGGAGAAGGTGGATCAAGAAAAAAGACATTTTCGAGTTATTTCATGTAAAGCTAGCTCTGTAGAATATATAGCCCGGGCTGTTATTCTATTAACTAAATTGTGCCATAGGTGTCCAAGGAGCAGGAGGAGGATGAAGTTCCTGCCCCAGATTATGCTATTGCCCACTTCAAATCCTTCCTTCAATCACAAGCAATCATAAAACATCTTCAGTTTGATTTCCTCTATTCTGCCATATAGAAAATGTAAATCTTCGGTTAAAGTATATATTGCTCCTTCTGGCGTGAGCATGTATGTGGCTTGATTTTATAGTAATTCTTGATTTTATAGTAACTCGTGTTAAGGATAATAAAGAAGGTTCTTTGAGATTAGATGAACTTGTTAAATTAAAAATTGTCATTCTTATTTGAATAAAGGTTAGGTTCAAGCGTTACACTAGATTTATATTTTGTTTGTTTTTTAACCATTTGTTGTTTAAAGTGCTCTTATGAAATTACAAAAAGAAGTTAGTATTTTATATTATTATATTTAATAATAATTATGAAATTTTAAATATAAATTAAACAAAATTAACAATAAAAATTAAAAACATGAGAGAAATTTCCTGTGACTTTACCTGCGGATATTTAGTTTGCTGCGACATTTCCTGCGAAAATTCATTTACCTGCGTTGTTATCTGCGAATTTATTAAAAATTAAAAACATGAGAGAAATTTCCTGTGACTTTACCTGCGGATATTTAGTTTGCTGCGACATTTCCTGCGAAAATTTCATTTACCTGCGTTGTTATCTGCGAATTTATTTAGTTTACCTGCGATTTTTCCTGCGACCTATTCCTGTGACATTTTCATGCGACTTCACCTGCTATATTAATTACCCACGAAGATTTTAGCTGGGAATAGAAAATAGTAGGAAGAATAGCAGGTAACACGTTTCCTGCGAAAAGTTTGTCAAAATCCGCAGGAAAACAGAGTATTTTTAGTAGTGTTAGTATTATATTTAACATACTTCAAAATGTGACATTTAGTGATTCATCTTGTGAAATTGTTCCATCTACGGTGGATAATGGATGACTCTAGTGAGAGATGTGCAGGCCTTCTCTGTGGTCGATGCGAAGAATAAGGCATCAATGGTTGACGGTATGCATGTCAAGCACGACTACTATATCCACCATCACAGTCATGAGGAGGTGAATTGTTGTCTCAATGAGGATTCTGATGCCTTTTTTCCAACACTTAGCCCTTGATGGTTGCAAGCTGACTCAATAAGAGCATATCTAAGAATAGCTTCTGAAGCTAGCGGAATTATACCTGAGTGAATCGCACACTCGAATATATAACTGTGTCGCCACCGAACTTTATTTAGTCTCAAAGAACAGGGAAAATATAGATAAACTCCAAGGGGAAGAGAAACGGGCAAGAGGGTCGGTTATGCGAGAGGAAGGTACTAGCACCCCATGCATTTGTCGTACTCAACGGTAACCATTATGCTTGCTTCTAGCCTCAGATGATTTATCTATCTAAAGGCTTCTAGCTAAAGAGGGAGAGAAAGGAGAGAAAAATAAAGAAAGAGAAAGTGTTTGTGGAGGATTTGGCCCCTCGTGCCTACGTATCCTCATTGTGTAATGAGGAATTTAAAGCTCTGTAGTTCATGGAACCAAGGAAGAAAAGATAAAAGAACAGAAAAAGATAGAAGAATATAAAAGGTAGCCCGCTAAGATCTCGCGATCTTGTGCCTACGTATCCTCACAGTGCAATGAGGAAATCAGAGCTTAGTAATTCAGGGAACTAGGACGGAGAAAGAAAAGGAAAAAGGTGTCAAAATCAAGAGCGAAAGCAAAGGCTCTACTAGGGAAAACCACATAATGGTGTTAAAACCAAGAAGGAAAGGCAAAGGAATGGTGTCGAAATCAAGAAAGTAAAGGAGGAAAGGAATTGAATCGAGATAAGGTAAGATCCACTGGGGATTTGGTATATTAACTGACAAGCAGTGATTAATTGAAGAAAGAGAAGATTACGATCCAGAGGGGGAAAAGGTTGGCGTCAACAGATGGGTCGTGATTAATCAGAAAAAAAGGAGAAAAGAGATTAACTTTGCGGGGAAAGAATGAAATCGGTTTTAACAGATAGACTATGATCCACCAGAAAAGGAGAATATCGAACCAAGATGGGGTGTTTGACCCTCTGGAAATTTTGGTATGTTAACTGATGAGCAGTGGTTAACCAAAAAGAAAAAGGAGTTGATTGTTAACTGACGGACGGTGATTGATCAGAAGCATGAGTATTAACCAAGAGGTGATTAACTCAACTAGGAGAGGAGAAATTGGTTTCAACGGACGGACTGTGATCAATCAAAAAGACAAGTGTAGAACTAAGTGAATGTTGTGACCTAAAAGAACGGGTGTGGAACCAAAGGAAGGTTGTGACCCCAAAAAATGGGTGGGGAACCAAGCAAAGGTTGTGACCTAAAGGGGTTCGGTACATAAACTGACAAGAAGTACTTAACCGAGGAAAGGGTATTTGAACCAAAAGAATGGTTACTAACCCAAAGGCGTGGGTATTCGAACCAAAGAAGGTTGCTAACTCATAGGGATATTGGTTTTAACAGGAGGATTGTGATTAACCAAAGAATGGGTGATTAACCAAGAGAATGTGATTAACCCAAAGAAGATTGGTTTTAATAGGCGGACTGTGATTAACCAAAGAACGGCTGATTAACCAAGAGAAGGTAATTAATCCAAGAAGAACTCAGTGTGTTAAAAGACAGACTGTGATTAATTGAGAAAAGGAGCAATCGGTCTTAAACCAAGGAAATGGTGATTGACTAAGATTGAAAAGGTATGAGTGATCAAGAGTTGACACAACTGAGGATCGGGAGACACTATAGTCTTAAGATAGAGACGATTATTTCAGGAACAGGTTCATTCGTCCCCTATCCAAAATAATCAGAATGAGTGTAGGAATTATCCACTCTCATTCATTCTCTAGCACCAAAGTATAATGCGGAAATTGAAACCGACAGAGTAACGGCGTAATTTGTACAATGCTCCAACACGTCGTGCAGACCTCCGACTCTGCAAGGGATCAGGAAAGAAAGGCTCTAAAGAGATCCTAAAGAAGAGAGCGGGGGAATATTAACCAATCGAAACAAAAATGAGTCGAAAGATCATCAAAGCAAACGTGCAAAGTAATGATCGTACAAAATTAAATTTGCTCAATGAAGAACAAATCTAATGCATCTAATTGAAATTTCAAAGCATTAACAAGGCCAAACTAGCATGCACAACTAAGCATAATCATGTTAAACATAATCCAAAGTAATGTAAAGAAGTTCCTCGAGTCATGTGATAAATTTGCAAAGCAACGTGATTACACAATATCAATGCAAACAATTACGTAATCGACAAATAGTGTATCAAAAACTCCCATACGTTCTCTAACCAGAGACTAAACAATTCAAGAATAAACCTCAAATATCAAATATGTCGAGCCAAGGAAGTTAGATGTGGAAAGGAAATCAAACAAGCATGAAAAAAAAACATAAAAATCTGCCTCTACAACAGAGTTAATCGATTAACCATTTTTGCCTTCAAAATGGTTAATCGATTAACATATTTAAAACAACAAAAATTCACGCAGCAACAGTGTTAATCGATTAACCACTTTTTCCTGTAAACTGGTTAATCGATTAACACAATAACAGAAGCAAAAAATCAGCATTTTAAAAGCACTTTCAGCAGCAAATCACTTCTTCAATCATCCACATGTTAAGGCATGCAATTGTACACGAAAATCAT